ATACTAGCTTTCTTGTCCTGAATGGAAGTCATGTTCTTCATATGAACTTGGATCTTACTTTATTAGTGCCCAAATCATGTATACAGCTTGGCTTCAAGTATTATGAATTCAGCTACTAAAACCTTTAGTAGAATGAATAAAGAAAGGACCAAAGCCATTATCTACACCTCTTTTGCCCAGCTGCTTCAGTGTCTTGCTTTATGCAAATTTACTTTTTGTGAGGCTTTGGGAGAAATTAACTCTAGCATATAGTAACAGAAACCAACATATGATTATATTTTAATTCAGTGGTGGGATTCAAATGTGTGAACAACCGAGTCTTGTGTTGATGCCATTTCCAGAAGTCTGTTCTGGGCCTTGGCAACAAAAAAATAGCTACCGGTTCTGCCAAACTGGTGCGAAACTGGCTGAATCCCACCACTGGTTTAATTCATTTATTTTATTGTAATGGTATTAGTAGAAAAATTAAATGTTAACCATTCAGCTGTATGGAACCAGGTGCCATTTCCTTCATATTTACTATTTACTTTGAACATTTACACCTGCATTTGATCATAATAATGCAAGACAATATTTTCAACCAAACAGCCTTTAGTTTGCAAAAGAAGCCATGAAGGCAGAGTGAACTTTCCTTCAACACTACAGGTCAAGTGTTAATTTAAGTATATTCATTAGCCTACTTCTTTATGCACACTCTTCTGATATGTTGAAACCACAATGGTAATGACAGCCTGGAATTCTGGAAGTTGAAATACTGACTTCTGTAGAGGACACCAAATTGAAATACAATTGTATTGTAAATGCCAGCTCATCATTCTTGTTAGAAAAGTAATTCTTTATGTCTGTGCAACTGAATATAAATTAAAGAAGAGTAATACAATTTTTATATTGGGATTGAATATGATTCAAAGTGGGAATTTTATTTGACTACTGAATTAATATAAGATTATTTAAAATGACTGCATTTTTATCCAAAATTGGAAATCCCATTTTCTTAGGGTATCAGTTTTTTCCTGATATCAAAATATGAATGTAGAAAATATTAGACTTTATATATAACTGTATATAAAAAGAACTGTCACAATTTCAGCCATGAAAATATGATATTGTTCAGTCCTTGATGCTCTTTGAGCTTGGTTGCCCCGTTTGAGATTGCCATCATGAGGACTTTCTCCCCTCCCCCTACTTTGCTGATGGACCTCCAATACGACGGACTGTATTCGAGGAGGGAACTGCTGGCCCTGCGCGACTCCCCCATCGCGCAGGCATGGCCCAATACCATTCCAAGGGCCGGCCTCGATGAAGGGGTCTGGAACCCCGAGAGGTGGCACTCAGCGACAGCACTGAGGGACCTAAGAAGA